TGACGTCATAGTGAAATAGGGCAATTGTTATGGAAAAGTTTTCAGTTCTGCTCGAGTAGATGATAGATTTGATTAAAGTCTTCCTCCTCCTTGTTGAAACGGATTTAGAAACTTACACATCGACATTCCACGGTTGAGTGAAAAAAACTGAGTCGAGTTGTCATCGTATGCATTTTGGGGCTGTTCTGCAAATATGTCCCCCCTCCCCCCCCCCCGAAAAAAAAAGCCCCAAAATGGACTGCAATGTCAACTTGACTCATTTTTAAACTCAAGCTCGGAATGCCTAATACGAAAGCATTTGCGTTTTGAGAAAAGGAATACTGTAACCAGACTGCCTCGCGAAATCAAATTAGACATTTTTGGAATAGGTAAAATACCGCTGCGTTTCTTGTTTAACTCATTTACAGTGGGTTAGTCTCATTCCCAGTCTCTTTCTCAGAGCCATAATTTCTTACTGCGAATGTTCGATCATGCGCAGTAAGAAATAAGGGCTTTAAGAATAAGCATCAAAATATCACAAACATTGACGGTAAAGTAAAGAAAGCACAACACTTTTAAGTTCCACAAACCTTCACTGGAAGCAGTACATTATTGCTTTGCGTTGACCAAAACATAACTTTTTGATTATGAAAAAGGTGCTTTCAATAGATATGAAAAAATGTCTCCCTCATGGTCTCTCAGGAGATTCACATCCAGTGAAACGACCTTCAAATTTGAAGCCCCTTTAAACTGTTTTCAAATCCTAACTTTGAAATACCCTTAAATCGATCGGCCGTTTCTGTCGAAGGAATTTGAACGTTTAGCCGAACTATGTACACTTTCAAAAAGAGTCATCGCAAACTCAAGCCTGGGGTGCTTACCATTTAAACCAATCCATCGGGTTTGAAATTCATTCGCTAATAATGCACGGTAAGAAAAGAGCGGGAACATGGAATTTCGAAAAATGCCCAGTACCCGTGTCTACAAGATGATTCAAGGGATTTTAAGGTCCTTTCGTCCGATGTGACTACCAGCTGTACCGTACCAGTGCTAAACGATTTTCCTAATTTGGGATACCTGTGTCACCTCCCATAACCCACTGCGGTCCATTTCGATCGATCGTTCGAACATTTCACTATTTTATGTTTATATTTGTTCAATTTCCTATCAAAACAAATATTTTCTCGTATAAGACGAACATCGATTCCCAATGAAGAAAAAGTTTATTAACTAAGGGAGCCTACAGAGCTTTTCGAGTGGGCTCGATGTTTTAAAGCAACACTATGGAGCTCGAAACGACAAGCAGTAGCAGAAAGAGAGGACGACAAAAATCATTTCAAGAGTAAGATTTATTATATCACCCACAAATAGTTAAACACTTTTGATATTGTTATCTCTTACGAAACGATATTTATATATATTCTTACCCTGTGATAAACTAGTAGATAGACATGAAATAACACACTCTTGTTTACCAGACATGAAGGTTAATATGTCATGTTTGTATTCCTTGCAATCACTTCTAATTTTCGTCTATAAGTAAAATAATAAATCGCAGGTGTTTTTAGTCGAATATCAATGTCCAAGAGCTTATCTATCGTATCTTGGAGGTGGATAAGTGAAGAATTAAAGAGAATAATGGCAGCCAAACCACCTAAAAGATATAGCTAAATTTTAATTCGATCTGTGAATTAGCATTTGCCCTGCAAGTCAGACTTTAGCTCAGCCTAGAGGTTGTTTCTAACTGACGTTTCAATAACCTGAGTTTCATCTTCAGTGTCTACTTACAATTAGATTTTGAAGATTATTTCCGTTCAGGTTGCGAAATGTCAGTCGCCACTAACGTTGGAGTTGAAGACCTTGGAAATCTTCAGGGGTTGTTTTTGTACTGGAAATCTTCAGGGTTCAGGGTTGTTTTTGTGCTGTGCTGGGTTGAGAACCTACACATATATTCTTCTGGGGTTAATTATGAACATTCATTCAATGAGCAGCCTAGCTATAAACTAAAGTATTATCGGGCTACGTGTATTTTCTGTCTATGCTCCCATTGCTTTGGAACAAGCTTCCAGTTTATATTAAAGAGAGTTCTTCCTTAGCTATTTTTAAAAAGAATCTAAAAACTTATTTGTTTAAGGATGTCCTTAATTTGTAGCCCTTTCATATTTAGCATTATAGGTATTAGATATATTCTCATGTTGTTTTAAGCATCATTTTTATACATAGTCTAGAGTATCAATATTGGTTTTTAGATATTAGTTTTAGATCATTAGTTTCTTTTTAGATATTAGTAATTTAGAATTGTAAATAGATATAGTTGTTAAATAGTATATGTTATTTTTTATTTTATTTTTCTTTATTTTTTTTATTATGAATATATTGTAAGTCCCATGAGAAGCACATTTGGGCATATTGGAAAATACGCTATATAAATAAAATTATTATTATTATTATTATTATTATCATTATTGCACAGCTAAATAACTTCAACTCCTGCATGCCGGTGCAAACCATTTACTCTTAAAAGGGACAATGTCCCATAATCCAATGTTTTTGGTTTTCCACTTGTATATTTGGTACACACTTGCTAGTGAAGTACACATTGGGGTATATGCATTGTCACACAAACAACACTGCCTCATGGGATATTCTAGGGTATACCAATTTAACCAGTTATATATCTAGGTACTAGTATAGATATATATATGAAATTTAACCTCATCTTTTTATTTCTGTTTTACCAAAATTTAGATTTGACARCGATGATGATCAGTCTGAGGCTGGGACTGTTGACTCTAGGTATGAGGCTACTGTTAATTTATATGCATGTAAATTAAAATGACTGTGAAATAACTTAACAAAGATTCAATTGCCCTATTTCACTATGACGTCACTGCTTGTTTACATGGGGGATAGAATTGCCAAATCCAATAGAAAATTCAACAAAATTTGCTCCTAGCGAAACAGTTTAATCTAAGATGACCTGGTTTTCAGATATAATATGATTTAATATGTACTAAAAAATATTCTGAGGGTTTGCTGGCTATTCTACTTCTCTTCGTGGATTGATATGGGTTTTAGAACAATTTTCTGTGAATTTGCATTGATTTGACCCCCTCCAATGACCATGTTGATTTGCATTTAAACAATATATTGTTTTGATGTGACGTTATAGTGAAATAGGGCAATTCCCCTTTTCACTGCCAGCCATCACACTGTATGAATGATACTGCATTGTGTTGTGGTCACCAAAAAGTTTAGACGTTCTCAGATTTCCATATGAACCTACTGACTTTTAGCTCTCTAAATACAAGAAAAATATCATTTTTCTAACTCGATTGAAGCTTTTCTTGCTGCTGTTTAGAGAGCTAACTAAAGAAATATATTGTAATTTTCTTTTTAAACTCAGTGAATCTGTATGGGAATCCAAAAATAATGTCCAAACTTTTTGATGACTGTAACACAATGCAACGCCATTTATACCATGTGACGGTTCCCTGTGCCATCTTAAAAGATAGCTGTGCCTTTGCATCAAAGCAAGACGATAGAGACATGTGAATAGTTGAGGCAATGATAGAGACGTGAATAATTGTTCAAGGTGTTTAAAAAAGGTCTCTATCATTACAAGCTCGCTGTTCGTCTCGCCTCGATACAAAGGCACGCTACCTTTCAAGATGGCACAGGGAACTGTGAAAGGGAATATTGGCCTATAAGAGGCATTTGGCTAGACAAGTAACAATAGACCTCATGTGTGAAATTGGAAAAATTCAYGCTAGAATTGAAGGCTGTATTACTGCAAGGGGACTATATTCTTATGACTTATAGACCCCTTACAGCATGTTCAAATGCAGCTCAATTTGGAGGACA